ATGACTCCTATTATTTAAGCTCAATGTCCTAGGATTATGATCCCTTTTGAGCGCATTTGGTGCACGAATACGGTCAAAGTAAAGATTATGCAAATGACCTTTTTGATTGCAATAAGTGCAATGAAAGAGGCTCATTTAATTTTGTTGAATAATAACTTGTGCACGAGAAACATTTGCAAATAAGGATGGTCTTTTAAGATCATTTTGCAAATGTGAAACATTATTAAACAAATGTGGTCTACTTGGAGCATTTTACGAAATTGAAGCTTTTTGCAAATTAAAATAATATTTCGTCAAATGACCAATTCTACCACAAAGACTACATTCAAACACATGTGGCCTTTTAGAAACATTTGGCAAATATAAAACCTTTTGTAAATCAAAACAAAATTTTGCCAAATGGCCAAAGCGACCATAAAAATCACATTTAAACACATGAGTATGCTTATGATTAACAATAGGTGTATGTGCATGTGTGTGTGATGAAGAAGCCTTATGAGGTGCACAAGAAGCATTAGTCTTAGAATATTTGTGTGCATCGTAACAAAATTTAGTTAAATGGTCTTTTCAGCTGCAAATGGTGCATTTGTAAATTTTGATATACAAGTGTGCATAGTGGGTCCATAAGTTTTTTATGATTATCAATACATGTTTTTAAGATTGAATCTAAACAAGATATGTGGTTCTTCACAAGATTCAATTCATCATTATTCATAACATCATTGACAATAGAAGTAGAGCATGTATGATTATTCTTGAAAGAATCAAATTCATTCCTAATGGCTTCTACTTCTAGCATGGCATCTATCTTAGCATGAGATAAGCTAGTAATTGATGAGGTTAATTTTTTATTTTTCAAAATTAACATATCATTGATTTCTTTAAGAGTTATATTTTCTTTAGCAATGATATCAAATTTGGATGCTAGCATATCATGATCGGATTTTAGCTCTACATGCTTGCTTTTTAAGTGAATAAAATTTTTATGCAACTTTATGTAGGCATGCATTAATTTATCATATGCACAAGCGAGTTCATTAATGGATAATTCACTATCGGATTTCGAATCGCTTACCACACTAGGGTTATCCTTTAGTGGCCGTGTGCAAGATGATGAGGCTCCAATCTTACTAGAAGTCAATTCTGTTAAAGCATGTTGAATCTCCTCCAAGTTACCTTAATGTGTTTCAATAAATGTCCATAATTTGTAAGTACTATCAAAATAAACAAACTTATTAAAAAAAGATGAGTCAAAATCATTTAGCAAGTATTCTAACAAAATCTTGTTCATTGTAAACAAACTTTTATCATTTTTGCTCCACTTGGATTTTTTCAACGTGGGCACAATATAAGCACACTCGATAATTTTACACAAATATAAATGTTTAGATCTAAAAAATATTTTAAATCTAAAACACCATTGAGCTTAGAGGAAAGTATTGAATTTAGGAGCAATATTAGGATCATAGCCTAAGTAAGATACAACATGCATATCCATAATTATAAATATATGCAAGCAAGATAAAAAATCTCAAAGCTAGATTAGCATCAAATATAAGAGCAAGGATCTTTAACTCAAGACGATTAAACCACGAATCAAAGAGCATCAAGCTCTGATACCAATTAAAAATACCCTAGAGGGTGGTGAATATGGTTTATGCTAATCTAATCTGATTTAATGTTAATTTTAAAACTAATAAAAAATTATCCTAGCAAGTATGAAATACAACAAGATATGAGCTAGGATATATAATTAAACTAAGGGCGATATAAACATGAGACAAAAGGAGATATAAAAAATACAATAATAAGTGCGTCAAAGCCAAACACAAACACAATGAAATGACCACGGAGTTCGGTCCTTCCGACCTACGTCTCCGATCTCCACTCCCAGGGAGAATCCACTATCACAAATGGGTTTTCGACGTTCACCCAAAAATGTTTACACATCACAATCTTGGTTTTCTAGCTCATCAAAAACTTTCACAACTCACACTCTTACAATCACACTCTACACCCTCTAAGTGTTGGTCTCTAACCCGTGTCCTCTTCCTCAAGTGCTCAGATTTATAACATCCCCCTAGGATTTACTACCAATGTCACTCCTCTTGGAATCGACCCCGTCTCTCACCATACACTCCTCTCGGTGTATAAGTGTATTACAAAGTGTATCTCACAATTTAGACTCAATAACAAAGTTTGTTCTCTACAATGGATGAGAACTCTATGTAAGCTCACTCTCAAAGATACACTCACCATAACCCAAATTACACTCAATGTGATAATACTAAAATCTCAATGGTTGTGTGTATAAACAAAGAGTATAAAATCAAACTAAACTCAATATGAAAATCTAGCTTAGTGAAAATGATAATCAATGAACAATATAAATATAAAGCTATAACTGAGTTTAGAAAACTTCTCCAATGATGATGATGAGAGAGAGAGAGAGAGAGAGAGAGAGAGAGATGAGATGAAAGCCCAAACACCAAAGGATGATCTCTTATTCCTCTTGTGAAAATCTCTTCACAAACAAAACTTGTAAACACACTTAAACAAAACCTTAAAACCCTCTTAAACTTGTGTAAAACTTTTCTTCATTAGTTTGGGAATGTTAAGTGGAAGGGTGTATATATAGCAAACCCCAAAGCCAAGAAGAAAGCAAGAAATGACAAAAAACCCAACAAAAATCGGAATCTAGAACTAGCCATTAGCAGGCAACAGCTACCGCGACGGTCGACCACGGCGATACATCTGGTTGACCGCGAGAGACCAAAAATAGAGTATAGTCTCTAGACTTCAGCTGGTCGACCGTGGTGGTTGACCGTGAGAGCGTGAGAAGCAGATCTGGGAATCTACACCTAGCCGGTCGACCGCGGCTACCTAGCCGGTCAACCGCAAACTGACACAGAATCTGAAATGTAGTTTTTTTTAATTTGAAACCCTGTTAAAAAATATCAAAAAATCTAAAAATTGTAAAACTTTGAGGAATGCTTGTAAATATGATAATAAACATGTTACAAAAAAAAATTCAAATTGCATCTCCCAATAGTGAAAACTCTATGTTTTGCAAAAATGTCCAAAACATGAAAACTTGATATACTTAAAATTTGATGTTTTGACATAAATCAAGTTTTGAAACTTTGTAAAATGATTTTATAGACTTAATAAAAGATGTATATAATGATTGTTAAGTCTATAAACCAAGAACACAATATTTCCATAAAAATAATGTTTTGTATAATATATATACTTTACAAAAACACAAATGATAAATATGAAACGTATGAGTATGTTTATGAATATATCTATTGTTTCATATTTGAATAGCTAAACCAAAAAATAATAATAAATATGAAATATGTAAGTATATTAACAAGTATATGTATTTCATATTTATATAAACTTGAAAACTAAAAACGTGTATGTGTATGTGTATGTGTGTATATAATTGAGCTTAAAGTATCAACACGCAAGTATAACCTAAGCTAATTATACCAAGCTATAGATCTTTGATGTAGCTCAACTTGGTTGCGAATGAAGCTTAAACTTGAATCTTTGACTTGAATTGTTTCCCATCCAACCTCCAACTAATATTTGTGTAGATTACCTAACAAAACAAATACAAACACTCGACACACGTTGTTAGGAATTGTTTGTAATCATTAAAACAAGATTAGGGATTAGGCTCATAAACATGGGACCTAATAAGGCTAACAACATTCTTACAACTGATATTGCTTGAGTACACAATAGCATTTTCATAGCAGTATATTATCATTTTCGTAGCAGCATATTATCATTTTTTCACATCTGGAAGTTAACATGTTTAGCTGAGAGTTATCGTCATCAAATGAAAGTTAACACGTTCATGTTAAAGTCAACATGTTAGAATGAAAGTTAACATATATAGCAAAAAGTTAACATGTTCAGTTGAGAGTTAACGTTTTCAAGTAAAAATTAACATATTCATGTTAAAGACAACATGTTTGTCTGAAAGTTAACATATACATATAAAAGTTAACATGTACAACATGTAGTTAACCTTTTTAATTAAAAGTTAATATGTTCATCTAAAAGTTAAGATCTTCACTTAAAAGTTAGCTAAAAAAACTGAACATTAATGTGTACAGTTGAAAGCCAACATTTTCTTTTGAAAGTTAACATAGTCAAATGAAATATTAGCTCGAAGTTATTCAATTGAAAATTTAGCTCAGCTAAACAAGTACATTACACAAAACTTTTTATATTCTTATAGCTGATATTGCTTGAATACATAATATAATTAGTCTTAGAACTTCATAGATTATAAAAATCTTCCACAATATACTATAAAATTCTAGATTCTCTCAAACAGTTCTTAGCTATTTCTACCAGTTTTCCTCTCCCATATGCAGTGGCGTAGCCAGGATTATTTTTTGCCCTGGGTGAAAAATAAAGGGATTATGTCGAACAAGACGAAGTAGAGGAGGCCGATATTGGCGATTGTGTTGAGCACTGTCAGGTTGCGTTTGGGGAATACATTATCGAGAAGCTGGCTTGTAATTTGATAGCAACCCTTATATCTTCACATTTTTAGTTTATACTCAATTTTTAGTTGTTTTAAGTTGCATCTCATTGTCATATTCATCCAAATATGTGACAGTTCTATGCTAAAAGACAACCATAATTAGACAAATTATCTTTATATCATTGATCCTTAGATTTTATCATAACAGTATAGTTTGTGTGGATGAGTAGAATGAAGAGATAGATACTTTACCACATATAAAAAATAAATTTTCATTTTCTTACCCTGGGCAGCTACCCAGGGCAAGCTGTATGTGGCTCCGCCACTGCGCATATGCATGGAGGAAGGCAGTGAATACATCACAGGATTTTGCAATAGATGGAAGCCCTTCAAAAAAATTCTTCAGCAACATTTACTCCAAAAACCTTAGTTATCAAGTCTATTCGCATTGCGTAATCACTATCAGACAACTAATATTCTTAATGGGATTTCATCCATTCTGATATCTGTAAACTTACATCAGTTCCAAGAATGATAGAAACAACATTCTAGCATTTGCACACAAAAATGTAGTGATATGTGCAGCAACTTAGTTGCGTCAAGCAAATAAATAAACATTTGGTCTGCAAGTAAAATTCTTACCTATATTCCAACAAATCCACAATGTACCAACTTTTATTCACCAAGAAGTGATTAATAAGTTGTGTGTTCCCTTAAAAAACAAAAGAAACCAAAAAACAAAACCAACAATTAATCAAATTTAAATTATCCAAAAAAAACCAAATAATTCGTCAAAACCCACCTGGTTTTTTCGAAGTAAGAGCAAATTCCTTCTTAATGGGATTTCATCATATTTTCTAAGTATTATATGCTGGTTTTCAATATCAAGTTGTGATCTTTCCAAGTAATTTCACTCCTACACCCACACATTGTTTTTAAAACTTAACTCAAGTGTAAGTCTTCTACCTAAAACCAGGTACTATTGGCAAGGTTTAAGGGTTGTGTAAAGCGCTCTGCAAGAAACGAGGTACTTAATAGATTTTTTATCAACCTCTAGTACTATCCTTACTATTGGACTTCTTGTTTTGATGATGATTTATAAACAATTTACTTCTAATTTTGTTTGTCTAGTGTTTGTGTTTTTGTATCAATTATAGACAAACAACATGTTGGAGGATGGATGGAATTGCACTTTAACGATCATATCCAATAGAGGTTGGCAAAATTGTGGAGTAAAGCCTATGCAATTCAAATTGAAGATCCAAGTTCTAGCTTCATCCGCGAGCGTACCAAGTTGAGCTACATCGAAGATTTTAAGCTTGGGTATATTTAGTTTAGGTTTTATATTATATGTGTTGGTACTTTAAGCTCAACATTATACACACACATTATATTGGTTTCTATGTATATATATACAGTCATATATATATATATATATATATATATATATATATATACATTGTTTTAAGTTTTCATGCATAAAAATATGAGATTACATATTTATTATTCTTAACTATATAGATATGAAACAAATTTACATTCATATATATAATCATATGTTTCATACTCTATTTTGTTTAAGAATATATTGCATAGAATATGCGATTTTGAGAAAATATTATTTTTTTAGTTTATAGACTTAACAATAATCATATACATCTTTATTAAGTCTACAAAATCATTTTTTAATGTTTTAAAACATGGTTAAGCTAAAATGTCAAAATTCATGTGTTCACATTTTCATGTTTTGGACTATTTTACAAAATGATGATATTTCTCATTTGGGAGGTCCTTTTTGAAAACCAATTTTTGTAGCATGTTTATTATCATGTCTACAATCATCTCCTAATGTTTCATAATTTTTTTAATTTATTTGATATTTTTAAACTTGGTTTAAAGTTGAGTTTTTCTGTGCATTTCAGATCTGTGCACGTTTATTTTTAAACTTGGTTTAAAGTTGAGTTTTTCTGTGCATTTCAGATCTGTGCACGTTTAGTCGACTCATAAGTCGACTCACAAAGTTGAGTTTTTCTGTGCATTTCAGATCTGTGCACGTTTAGTCGACTCATAAGTCGACTCACGAAGTACAGCGGAGTTGTGATTTTTCTTCTGCTAAGTCAACTCATATAAGTCGAATCATAAGTCAACTTATCAGAGAGCCATTGTACAGTAACGGCTAGTTTTCTGTTTTGTTTGTTTATGGGTTTTTAGTCTTTTTCTTGGGTTTTTTGCTAAAGTTTTGAATGGGTATAAGTACCCCTTGCTCTCATCTTTCACACATAACCAAGAGAATATTTTAACAAAGTTTTAACAAGGGTTTAAGTTTTTTTAGTGTTTGTTTAAAAAGCTTTTAAGTATTTGAGAGTTTAGTTTGTGAAGATAATTTCATAAGAGCAAGTGGAGATCATCTATTGATGTTTGGGCATTCAACTCTTCTCCCTCTCTCTTGATATTATAGAGAAGTTTTCCTAAACTTTATTTCTAGCTATTTATTATTTTGTTCATAATTTCTATATGCTAGATTTAAATTGAGTTTAGTTTGTTTTTTATCAAATCTTATTGTTACACACACCCACTTGAGCTTATAGTATTTCATACATAGTATAATTGGGGTTGTGAGAGATTATAACTTTGAGTTGTGCTTAATTAAGTTCTTACCTTGTTTAGAGATCAATCATTTGATTTGTGAGCTATTATTGTGAGGTTCACTTTGTATTACACTAGTACACCAAGAGGAGTGTGTGGTGAGAGACGGGGTCGTCCCAAGAGGAGTGGGGTAGGTGGTAATGCCTAGAGGTAGGTTGTAATTCCTAACACTTGAGGGAGACACGGGCTAGAGACCAATAGTTAAGGTGGTAGTTAGTGTAGTTACATTGTGAATGTGGATTGTAAAGTTTTCGGTTAGCTAGAAAACCGTATTGTGAGGTGTAAATATTTTTCGGGTAAGCGTAGAAAACCCGGTGTGATAGTGGAGATCTCCTCGAGGTGAGGAGCGAAGACGTAGGTCATGGGGACCAAACTCCATGAACATATCGTTTGTTTGTGATTGTATTGGTGCACTTTCTTTTGTGTTTATCATTGTATCGTCTTTGTCAATTGCTCATTGTTTATATTGCCCACTATCTTATTTATCTTGTTTATAGATTGTTTACCCTTGTGTTATTTATATATCCTTGTATATATTTCACCATATATCTCATTATTAGGATAAATCCCTTTGTTCATATTGCATATTCTTGCTCGTATTATATTGTATATCTATCTTGTAAGAATAATTCTTGAATAAGTTTTAATTGGCATTTAAATCGGATTAGATGGGTTCTTTCCTAGTGGCATTAGGGTCCAACACTTACCTGGCCAAACTACCCGAGTAAAACTTTAATCTTTTCACTTTTAGAGTTTTTGGTTAAGAGCAGGTTTAATTAAGTTTCTAGTCTAGTAGTATTGATAAAATCCTTTACCCGTTCAGATTCCATCTACCTACACTAGTAAACTCGAATTGGACTTATGGCAATTCTTGATCATTCAAAAAGTGTCATGCCTGAGAAGTTCACCAGTGTCAACTATAAATGATAGGCTAATCAGATAAGATACTAGCTCACTATCTGTAGGTATAAATTTTGATTTCCTGAAAACAGGAGACTTCATTTGTATTTATAAGAATAGCTTATTACAAACTAATGAATCGAAATTACAACAGAAGCGGAGGGAATGCCCTCCTTGTTTAACGTGGGGACTTTCGGTAGCTACAGGATGCTTCGCTCGATTCTCGCACCGAGTCTGCTTCCCTTGGACGGTTCGACCGAGGTTACTGGCGAGCTTCAGTACGCAGTAGAAGCTCGGGTTGATGGAGTTCGAGTCTCCTAGTTCGATGGCGATCAGGGTCTGGAACTAGGAGAGGACGCTACAGTGCAAAGGTTATGCAAAGAGCTTGTCGTCGACCTGGTTGGGAGTCGAGAGCTAGTGGTTCAGTCAACTGATTGACTAAATCAATTAACTATGAGCAAACTGCTAAACCTTTGGACCGCAGAATGCTGAACCTCTTTTTTGTGGCTGGAAGAAGTTCTTAAATAGAGGAGAGACGGCGTGGCCGCTCCTTGAATCATGGGATATGACCATATATCATCAGTAGGTATCATGCCTTGGGTTGTACTGTGAGCGGCTGCTTGATGGGTTTGGAGTACTGTACTCCTTCCCTTCACGTCGTGGGGAGTGGGATGGTCCCTCCATGTACGTGAGATGGTGGTTGCCCGATACTCGAGTGGGTTTGGCCAGTTCGCCATTTGCGGGCGGATTCGGCTCTCGACTTGTGCACGCGAGGCGGGCTTCCTGCTGGCGGATTTGGCGATTGACTGGTCACTCGTACTGTGAGCGGCTACTTGAGGGGTTCGGAGTACTGTACTCCTTCCCTTCACATCGCGCGGGAAACGGGGAGGCCCATCCCTGTACACAGTGTAGCGGCTGCCAAGTACTTAAGGGTGTTATTTTAGCTCTTCACTCGTGCAGGCGAGGTGAACTTCAATCGTGAGCGTGCAGGCGGATTTGGTGACTGCATGGACATGACCGGTTGCTCGTACTACGATCGGCTACTCGATGGGTTAGAGTATTGTGCCCCTTCCCTTCACATCGTGGGAAGTGGGAAGGCCCATCCCTATGTGCGGCGTAGCGGCCGTTAGGTACGAATTCGGCTCCCGATTCATGCGGGCGAGTCGGGTAAGCAGGTGAATCTGGATGATCTCGACTCGTGCGGGCGAGTTGATCACGCTGGCGAGTTGATCACGCTGGCGAATCTGAATGACCCTGACTCATGCGAGCGAGTTGGTCATGCAAGCGAATTTGAACGACCTTGACTCATGCGGGTGAGTCGGTCATACAGGTGAATCCTTGATCAACAATCACGGACGAATTCGGGGTTCGTGCGGTTTGGGTTTATGCTAGAGAGTCTAAACCCTTAGACAAGCCCTACCCTTAATTTGAGTGGGCGACCCTATCTCGCGGGTGAATTCATGTTCAAGTTTGCGGAGGTAATTTTTACCGTCTACAAGACCCCCTTCAAAATTTTTAGACCTAAAACAATTTGTGTGTGGTCTGGAATACTTTGAATAAAGAAGTTTCTGGCGAGTCAGGTGTATTTGGTTCTCTTTAGGATTTTTAGCAAACCCTCAGCTATCAACGGGTTTGATTTGCCTTTACCGACTACCGTTTGAATCGGGCTAGTCATACTATACCTCTCAGTATGATGAGTTGTCGAATGGTTTCTCTTAGGCTCAATGCTAAGATTTCCACTCTAAACCTTAGCCGTCTGAGGCGTGGGTTTAGGGTGAGACTATTTCGTCGGTGGTTCCTGACTCTAGATGAGTCGTGTCATCTGTTACCCGTCCTCAAAGGCGAACAAATTGTTCAGGCGAAATTTATTTTCGCAGGCAAAATTTTGAATTTACAGGGTCGAGCCAGGCTTTTGCAGGCGAAATCCTTCCTTTGGGCGGAATTAGATTCGGTAGGAGTGAGCCGCGTGTTCGCCGATAGGGATTCGTGCTTTCCAGCTAAGGCGGCGTGGTTCTGTCAGGTCGCCTCAATTGTGATTCGACAGTCTGACGTCGGCTTCGTGCGCCTCATTCGAATCGTGGTCGTGGTTTTTGAAATCCAAACGTCAGTCCAGCCACTGAATTCGGCTCGGGTTCCGGGTTTCGACCGACCCGTTTCCCGCTTCGACGGTTCCTTCAAACTGTTGGGATCCATCTGGACCGTTGATTTCGATCGTGGCCACATCTCTCATCCGCCAGTGTTTCACCTCTTGAGGGCGATCGTGGCCACGTAGGCAACTCCGCTTTTAAATAGGCTTTGTTCCCTTCCTTTGAGAGCTACTGTGCCCAGGAATCTTAAAAATTTTCTAAAGAGAGAGAATTCCCGCTTTGTCCCCAATGGCGCCGAAATCTAAGAAATGTGTTGCGAAGGGAGGAGGTCCTGGACGCTATTCCGACCGCCTCGTCACCGGTGCGCCCGCCAACGTGCATGAGACACACTTGGGTAAGTCCATGGGTTCATCTGACGACTTTGTATTGGTTGCAGACGTCGGGTTGGGAGGATGAGCATCGCTCGTCTTCCCCGGTGGATTCTGTCGTCTTTTGGTAGTTTCCCCGATTGGGATAAAATCGGCCCTTTTTTAGGTGGATTTTGCATTTGTTCGCAGGGGATGATCTCTGTCTTTACAGGTGAAATTAACCTTTATCGGGTGAAGGCGAACTCGTTTTTGGTAGGCGAGTTCGAATTTTCTCTGGTAAAGGCGAATACTGTCTATACAGGCAGATCTCGTTCTCGTCAAGTGGATTTTACTTTTTGACAGGCTGATTTACATTCGCCCACCTCGGCTTGATAGGTGGATTTTCCCCTAGGGCGGACTCTGTCCTGACTCTTTGATTTTGTCTTG